GGAGCCACCTCCCAGACAGGGTCCTTGTGGTCCTCCTGCCTCAGCCTCAAGAGTCGCTGGGATTGCAGACCTGTGCCACTGTGCCCGGGTAGAATGGCTCCCCTCCCTGCCTCCCCCTCCCCTCCCTGCCTCCCCCCCCCCTCCCTCCCCCTCCCTCTTCCTCCCTTCCCCTCCCCTCCCTCCCTCTCCCTACCCTTCCCTCCCTCCCTCCCTCCTCCCCCTCCCTCCCTTCCTCCATCCCCCCCACCTCCCCTCTCCCTCTCCTGTGAGTCTGGTGGACTCTTTGCTGGGAGGGTGTGGAGGAGGGATGTGGCAAGCAGAGCAGTCCACACAGATCGGAGCTCTAGATGGAAACACCGGGGATTTTTTAAGCTTCATGTGTGCCTTGCAGAGTGACACGCCCGGACCTCTGAGGTCCCACACACTGCACTGGCTTGACCGTCACAGCCTTCAGAAGCCTGGTCTTCACTTACTCCCTGGCTCTTCTTACCTGCCACCCGACTTCCCAGCCCTTTAACCAGCAGCCAAGGCCACCTTGCAGAAAGGCCACCCACACTTGCTTGTGTAGGAGCCTTGTGGGGGGGGGGTCCCAGCCACTCTCAGGAAGACTCAGCTTCCCCAGGGCAGGATGGCCCACCTGACCCAGCTCTGCCCACCTCCCTGCCCGTCTCCTGCTGGCACAGGACAGTCCGGTTCCAGGACACCTCCTAGAACATCCCAAGGCTTTGCAGACCTGGATGCGCTCTGCTGAGGGGAGGCTTTCCCTGGCTCCCGGCAGGGGCTGCAGTCCTCGCTTCTCCAATGTGCTGTGCCCGTCTCAGTGTCCAGCTACCAGCAGCTCGTCCCTGCTTGCCGCCTCGTGAGAAGGGACTGTTTCAGTTGCCCCTAGCCCTACCCTGGCACCGTGCAGGGCTCCGAGCCCACTCAGCAAACACCGTCCAGTGGGTGAATGAAGAAACCTATGCCCATTCTCCTAAGCTGTCCAGTCCCGACCCATAATGAGTACCTGGCACCCCATTTACACATCAGGATCCCCTGAGAGCTTTCCAAATATACGACCCAGGTTGAGAATTATGATTCCGTAGCTTCTGGGTGGGTCCAGGGGGTCGATTCACTATAACTGCCTCCAGACACTCTGGCACGAAGCCCGATGACCCCTGACACCCTCCCAGCCTCCTTCCTGCCATCGACTGTCCTCCAGCCCACCACTGCCTTCTGCTGTCATAGCCAGATTCTGATGCGAGAAGCTGCTGAGGCGGCAGCAACAGAGCGTCTTTAAGAGAAAGCACGACTAAATCATCTCTGTCAAAGGAGGCTAACTACACCAGCGAACCCTCCAAGGCAAGATGCAGAGGGAGAGCAGCTGGCAGAGATTGGCCCTGCGTAGCTGCCTTCAGCAAGAGGCGGTCCCGTGAAGCAGCACCCGCAAAGCAGCACCCTGAAGCAGCACCCTTGCAGAAACTCCCCAGTCAGCTTGGCCCGCAGGAGCGAGGTCGCGATCAGAGAAGCACAATTCCTCAGAGCAGACCTGGAATTCGAAAGCACCCAAGCAAACACTCAGGTGCTGTTCTTGGAAAGATTCACATTTATATGCACATCGTGGGTTTCTATTTTCTTTATATACCATTGCCTCTAAATGCCCCTTGGTTGTTTTCTGTAAAAGTAACAAGATTTTAAAACATTCTTTTGTTTATTGCTGTTTATAAAATGGTTTCTGTCATGGAAATGTTTTTTTTCTATTTTTTTAGTTGTAGATGGAAACAATTTCTTTGTTTATTTATTTTAGTGCTTCATGCATGCGAGGCAAGCACTCAACCACTAAGCTACAACTCCAGAAATGTTTTTTTTTTAAATAATTGTTTTTGTGTTTCTTTAAATGCTTCTGTGGTTATCCCTGAATTATGAGAATAACAATATTTAACATTTATTGAGGGCTTGTTCTGTGCTGTGCACTTTCCTACTTAATTGTGTATGCATATATTGCCTCATTTAATTCTCTCCATAACTGCTTATTGTGTACATTATTATTAGCTATGGACCCATAGGTTGCTCAATAGCAGGAAGTTAGTTAATAAGAGGTGGAGCTGGGATCTGGCTCCAGGTGGACTCCCCCCAGGTCCTCTTCATTTCTATTTGGATCAGCATTTCCCAAAGTATAGATATTTTGGAAAGTTAATGACATGGAATATTAGTAGATGATTTTAAAAGGTTGGGAATATCAGTTAAACACATGGGTTTCTTTAGTGTAAGGTTTCTTGGAGTCTCTAAGTGCAAATACACTTTACAAACGTCTAAAATGCAAAAAAGCAGAATATAACATTTCCCAGATCTCTTTTCAGCTGAGCCTCTATTTATTTGTGGTGCTAGCAACTGAGCCAGGGCCTCAAACATGCTGAGAATATATTCTAAACCTTGAGCTACAGCCCCAGCCCCTGTGGGGTCTCTCTAGACCACCGTTCTGTGAGCCAAGTCTGTGAAATGATAGTCTACACCACAGTCCACAAACTCGGGTGCCTTCCTGCCCCCCGAGGTATTAGAATTTATTTAATATCCACTTACAACTGCTTACATTCTTTTTCACTTTTGCGAGTTTTGAGATTATGTAAATGCAGCTGTCCCCGGGTATCTACAGGGACTGGGTCCAGGATCCCCTGAAAATACCAGGGTCTGCAGATCTCGACTCCCTCTCATGAGACAGCACAGCAATTGCACATGACCTGTGCGCTTCTTCCCTTTGGCCTCAGACAGCGTCGGTGCTGTGTAAATAGTTGTTATGCTGTATTGTTCAGGGAAAATGACAAGGAAAATAAGTCTACATGTGCGATTTTTTTCCCCCAAATAAATTTTTATTGTGTTTGGTTGGCTCGGTGGATGCAGACCTCCACACTAGAAGTGTGGAGGGCTGCCCATACATAATATCGGAACAGTAATGTGTGTGTAATGTACACAAATGATTTCCACATCCTGGGGATGGGTGCAGTAACATGAAGGGGTGTCTTACCATACACGTGTGAAGTGTTCACTTTCTTGTTATTCTTTGACCCAGCAACTTCACCTTTTGGCATTTATCCAGTTTAGCCTAAGGAAATAAATTGGCATGTTTTAAACATATTGGCTACAAGGATGTTTATTGGAGAACCAGGCTTGTGACTAATGAAAACAGTCTAAATATTCAATAATTAAGGACTGGTCACATAAACTATGCAGTTACAAACAATAACTCTTAAAAACTCTTAAACAGGGAGATCTTAAAAACTAGTAGTAGAAAATATAATGGCATAGAAAGCCGATTCCTGATTTTTGTCAGTCAAAGTCAGACAGGGCTCGGGTGAGCTCTATGGAGGAGCACTTGCCAAGCAAACAGGAGGCCCCGGGTTCAGTTCCCAGTCCTGCAGAAGAAAGCAAAACAAAAACACATAGAGGATCACAGAGTTGGCTGGCCTAAAACAAACAACTGGAATCATAAACTGAAATGTCAACAGTAGGCTCAGCAGTGAGATAGGGGAAACTTTCATTTTCTCCGTATCTACCCTTATCCTAACTTCTGTGTAATAAATGCATATTTCTGAATAAATATTATATTTACAGTAAAGTTTAAAATTTTAAAATAAAGGGCTAGGGATGTGGCTTGGTGGTAGAGTGCTTGCCTGGCATGCATGAGGCCCTGGGTCCACTCCTCAGCACCACAAACAAACAAACAAAAAAGATTTTGTTTTTTTGCATACCTCTTCTAGATGTGTTATGTTGGTGTCTTTTCTGTGTTTGCATATTTTTTGTTTTAAGTTGTAGGTGGACAAATACCTTTATTGTATTTATATGGTGCTGAGGATGGAACCCAGGGCCTCACAGATGTGAGAAAAGCGCTCTATGGCTGAGCCCCAGCCCCAGCCCCAGCCCCAGCCCCTCACATTCTCCTTTTTATCCGTTGACACATAAATACCATGTAACACACAAGCCTTTGTGCTGTGCTACATTGTGTCAACTTCTACACCTGCGACTTCCTGTGGGTGGGAGCCTCCTGCATTTCTAGAGGTAGAATTCCAGGGTCAAAGCAAATGTGCACTGGTAATTTCGATAAACTTTGCCTCCTGAGGTTACCAAAAAAAAAAAAAAAAAATAATAATAATAATAATAAAAATGTTCTCATGGTTTCTTTGAGTATTTTAATTGTCTGAGATTTTCTTTACATTTCACTTTCAATCCATTTTAATGTATCCAGGCTTCATGAATGCTGCATAAGAAAAACAAATAATTTAAGACATTAAAATCCTCGCCGGTCGTGGAAATTCTAGCGCTGGTTATCCGCATCTGTTGGATCACAGGATCCTGGTGCAATAAGGACACCTCGCGAGGGTTCAGCTTACACGGGGTGGAGAGCTGCTTACTCTCCCAGGCTGCCCGGCTTCCAGGGTCAGGCAGAAGCAAAGCCCCAGCCCCGAGGACCCCATTCACCTCCTAGTGAATTTTCTACTCCAGGAGAATTGAGGTTGGTGGATGGGTTTCCCTTCGGACAGCTTGTAAGTTGTTTTCAGCACTTAAATACAGAGGAGTGGGCTCCCTGGAGGCCCAGGGTGTGCAGCTGAAGCTGCACTCAGCCCCTGTGGCCATCTGAGGGCTCCTGGGGAGAGGAGCTTATTCCTGCAGAGACTTGTGGACCCGTTGCTCAGTGGCGGGCTTAAGCAGCTGTGCTGAAATGTCAGACGGATTTGCACAGCTGACCGAGTTGCCCAAGAGACAGCAGCGTAGTAACCCCATCAACTGACCCCGGGCAGCCCAGCCCTGCTTAATATAGATCTGCCGGGGCTGAGCTGCAGTCACGCCGCTCGGCAAACCCACTGAGGCTCCTGGGGAGAGATCTCAAGGTGGGTTGACCTGCTCACCTGTTCACCAGCAGGGCTGCTTGGAGTGCCTCTGTGTTCCTCTTCTTTTTGAAATCAGCTTTGATAATTTCTTCTCTTCTAGTGAAATTAGAAACAAACAGGAAAAAAAAAAACCAGACCATGTCGGGCCACGGCAGGAATTCGGATCAAGAGGAGCTGGGTGAGCTGGACGAGGATGAGCTCTTGGCCAACCTGTCCCCCGAAGAGCTGAGGGAACTGCAGTCGGAAATGGAAGTCATGGCCCCGGACCCCCGCCTTCCCGTGGGAATGATCCAGAAGGACCAAACCGAGAAGCCACCGACGGGGACCTTCGACCACAGGTCCCTGGTGGACTACATGTACTTGCAGAAGGCCTCCAGGCGCATGCTGGAAGATGAGCGCGTCCCCGTCACCTTTGTGCGGTCTGAGGTAACCAGCACCTGTCCTGACAGGTGGCCCCTGGCCGGCTGTCGGCTGTCCGTGTGTCCCCTGGGATTGCTCGGGGCGGCGGCGTTGGGTCCTGCGGTTTTGCCCCATCCTAGCGTGTGCCGTAAGGTTCGACCCCACTGCAGACTGGAACTTTCTGAAACCCCTGGCACAGCTGCAAGGGGAAGGCGGGTCATTTCTCATCGGCCTCTCGGTTTTGCTTGCTGGAAGGCCGGTGGATGTGGCCCCGTGCTCAGGGGCCCCAACTCGTGACCAGGAGCAGGTGTTCTGAGCACCTACTTTATTGAATTTATTTATTTGGCGGGCAGGCCCCCTTAAGGGGCTCACGGGAGCTCTGGGTCCTCTCTCTGGCACGTCCTCACCTATGCAATACTCCACGCACAATGTCAAAGACCTCACGGTACCCCAGAGGTCTAGCCCATACCCTGCAAGTGACCAGGTGAAACAACCAAAAATGTGTAACGTTCCCACCATGCACTGGGTATCCGTGACGACACTTAGTAAGTGTCATGGTAGTAAGCTGTTTCTAGTTTTTCTCAAAATTTTTTAGGTCGAAAAAATGGAACTGTTACTGATTCTAAAATTTACTTTGCATTAGCATAATTTTTTTAAAAAAAGTTCCACTTAAAAATAATTTGGCAGAAACAAGACAGTGGCCATCCAGGTGAAGTCTCTTTCAGGTGTGCTGGCTGACAGAGCTGTGCGTTGTCACATTACTGTCCCACTGGCTGGCATTCAGGGAGGTGGACAACGGGTTTCACATTCAGGAGAACTTGGACACGCACTCAGCTTTGGAAAATGCATGGCTGGCTTGATGAGGTTAGAGCTGAAGATAAAATTCATACGCCTTTTACGTCGGAGGTGATTCTATGTGAACACCAGGGTTAGAGGGAACAAAAGGAGGACTTTCAAACACCATTCCTTCTGCTGGTGTACTTTAAACGGCTTGGTAGTGGCTCCCCCTGCTGGGACAGGTGAGAAGTGCGGGGGAAGGGGCCTTAGGTGGTGAAGGGCAGGGGTCAATGGTCCATCCCCACCGGCCACATGTCATGAGATGGAGTTTGTGCTCAAAGAAGCCTGCATCTCTGATTGCTGCACTCACTGTCAAAATGACACCCATGAGGTACACATCTTGTACAGAAAAGCACAATAATGCATAAGTCTCTAAAAACACTGACAAGGGACAGCTACTTTCCTCCCCAAACCTGCAATTTCTAGATCTCTGCACAACACTCTTGCTTGTACAGCGGCTCTTCCTTCTAGGCACTGTTCCTCAAAAAAAACAAGAACAGTGAGCTGGTTTCTGGAACAGCCAGGGCAGTTTTCACAGAGCTGAGCACATGAAATCCAAATCAAGGTTTCAAAAAAAAAAAAAATACGTATTCCAAATTGCCAAACTGCTCTCATTTACCCCACATTATGTTATAGTCTCAGGGAAATGGGATCTACACGTTATATAAGATTTGCAGACATTTTAGGCATGTAAATTTTAGAGCAATAAGGAAACTACTGTGTAACCCAGGGTTATGGAATACAAAGACCCTATTCAGCTATATGTCAAACAAAGACTTCAATGTGTTGATAAAACCTGTATAAAGTTTGCAAAACAAATAACCTTTACTGCTTCTGGAACTGAAGATTACTTTAAAAATAAAACCAGGCTGGGGTTGTAGTTTCGTGGTAGAACAGTTGCCTAGCATGCACAGGGTCTTGAGTTTGACCCTCCCACACCCCAGCACCACACATTCAGATAAAAACCATAAAAAATAATTTTTAAAAATCTGACAATAAAGTGAGCTAGGTTTTATTTTTATTTTAATTACAATTGGCCCTCACTATTCTTGGGGGTTCACCTTTCTGGACTCAACCAACCATGGATTAAAAAAAAAATATATATATATATATATATATTAAATTGAAAGCCCATAGTGGCGGCACAGGTTTGTACACCCAGCTACTTGAGAGGCTGAGGCAGGAGGATCACAAGTTGAAGTCCAGCCTGGATAACTTAATGTGATCCTGCCTCAAAGTAAATACCACATCCTCCGGTGGTAGCGCACCTACCTAGCATGTGCCGGGCCCTGTGCTCAATCCCCAGCACCACAGCAAGGAAATTTTTGCAAGTGGACTGAACCGGGACAGGTTCCTTGGGGTCATTATCCCCTAAACAGCGTAGTATAACGACGACTGATACAGCGTTTGTGTAGTGTTAGTTATTATAAGTAAACTGGAGAGGACGTGAAGAGCCTGTCCTTGGGAAGATCTGCCTAGGTTAGGTGCAAGCACTACGCCATTGTATAAAGGATGGTGCACCCCACCTCCTGGAACCCTGGTGTGGGTCGCCGAAGGATACCCAGGGACCACTGAGTAGGAGATGAGACAGACACAGCTGAAATCGTCACTGAAAATGGGTCTTTGTTTTGGTTGCCAAGAATATGTGAGGTTTCTTTATATAGAAAACTCAAACACTCTAGAATTATACAAGGTAAAAGTGAAGGGCCCCCAAATGCTTCTCCTCCTTGGAGTTTTCTTAGGGGTCGCCTCCTTCCTTAGGAGCCTGCCGACTGTTGCTCTACCTACAGTCACAAGCCTCTGTGCACAGGCGGGAGAACCCCGTGTCTACCAGCGCTCTGTGGTCCTGCGGGTTTCACCTCGTGGTTTCTGACGGAGCCTTGTCTCTCTCCTGTCTTTCCTGGTTGCTGTGGGCTCTAACCCACGTGAACTCTCTCTTAGGAAAACACGCCAGGACGGCAGGAGGCCAGAGACCCAGGGAATAAAAACGTGCTCCGGTTCCTGAAAGAAAAGCTCAATGACGAAATCGCGGCACATAAAAGAGAATCCGACGGCAGCGACGGTGTGCAGGAAGCGGATGAGGAGGATGGGGAAGAGGAGGAGGAGGAGGAGGAGGAGGAGGAGGAAGAGGAAGAGGAAGAAGAGGAAGAGGAGGACGACGGTGAGCCGGGAGAAGCACAGAATCCGGTCGGAAACGGCGAGAGCAGCAGCCCCCAGACGGCCACCAGAGCTCGGGAGGAACACAGAAACCAACCCGCAGCCCAGGAAAAAAGTGAGAAGAAAGTCTCCAAGCTGGATCCCAAGAAGCTGGCTCTGGACACCAGCTTCCTGAAGGTCAGCGCGAGGCCCTCAGGGAACCAGACGGACCTGGACGGCAGCCTGAGGCGCGTGAGGCAGAACGACCCCGACTTGAAGGAGCTGAACCTCAACAACATCGAGAACATCCCCCGGGAGATGCTGCTGGACTTCGTCAACGCCATGAAGAAGAACAAGCACGTGAGGACGCTCAGCCTGGCCAACGTGGGCGCCGACGAGAGCGTGGCCTTCGCCCTGGCCAACATGCTGCGGGAGAACAGGAGCATCCGCACGCTCAACATCGAGTCCAACTTCATCACGGGGAAGGGCATCGTGGCCATCATGCGGTGCCTGCAGTTCAACGAGACCCTCACCGAGCTGCGCTTCCACAACCAGAGGCACATGCTGGGCCACCACGCCGAGATGGAGATCTCCCGGCTGCTGAAGGCCAACCACACCCTGCTCAAGGTGGGCTACCACTTTGAGCTCCCGGGTCCCCGGATGGTGGTCACGAATCTGCTCACCAGGAACCAGGACAGACAGAGGCAGAAAAGGCAAGAAGAACAGAAACAGCAGCAGCTCAAGGAGCAGAGGAAGCTCATAGCCATGCTGGAGAACGGCCTGGGGCTGCCCCCAGGGATGTGGGAGAGGCTGGGGGGGCCCATGCCCGACCCCAGGATGCAGGAGTTCCTCCAGCCGCCTCCCGGGCCTCCCGGCCCTCACGGCCCCCACGGCCCCCACGGCCCCCACGGTCCCCACGCGGTCCCCTTCGGCCGCAGAAACGAGATGGCGAAAAAGCCGTCTCAGCCTCCGCAGTACAAGACGGACCCCGACTCCTTCCGGGTGGTGAAGCTGAAGAGGATCCAACGCAAATCCCGCATGCCGGAGGCCAAGGAGCCGCCCGAGAAAACCAACCTCAAAGACGTGATCAAGACGCTCAAACCCGTGCCCCGAAACCGGCCACCCCCCCTGGTGGAGATCACACCCAGAGACCAGCTCCTGAATGACATCCGTCACAGCAACGTCGCCTACCTTAAACCCGTAAGTAGAAGGGGGGACGGTGAACCCGCCTCGCATGACCTGCGCCCCAGCTCCCGTCTGTCCCCTGCGCCCCAGCTCCCGTCCCTGGCATCTCCACCCTCGCAGACACCAGTCCCGACTTCCTGGGGAGCACAGGGAGCTGCCCCGTGGGTCTGAAGCACCAGCCCTCCCTCAGGACTACACCTGAATGAGTGAGTTCTGGGACACGAATCCGAGCAGCTCTGTCTACAGAGCCCTTCCCATGAGCCGGAGCTGAGTCACAGAGTCGTCTTCCTTCTGTAATGTAGGTGCCGCTGTCCTCCCCACTTTATAAAGAGGAGACGGAGGCTCAGAGATGCTCAGCGCCTGTCTAGGGGGTTCAGCTCAGAAGTGGCAGAGCCGACCTTGAAATCACTCCCCTTCTGAGTTCAGGGTCAGGGTTTGATTCACCCTGCTATTGTGAACCCCCAAGTACAAACACAGAGCTCACAGAGATCCCCGAGGACCTGCTGGGAGGCACAAAGAGGAAAGAGGATACGAGGTTAGGCTTCTGGGTAGCTGGGGAAAAGGCCCCCGGAGTTGATGCTTTGTACAGATGAGGAGACGCCACTTGAGCTGCATTCACCCTGTTGGGTGGGCAGAGACGGTGGACTTCGGTTGCTGTCCGTGAATCCCTGCAGGTTCAGGAGATCTTGCCAGCATTTCAGTTTGCTGATTCAGTCTCCCACTAGGAGAAGAAGCTGTATTCCTTGCCGCTGAGGTTGCACAAACGAGAGTTCTTTTGTCATGATGCTGGTATTTACACAGGCTCAAGAACATTCCACAGACGGATACGGGGCTGCATTATTTCAAAAATCTTGCCTGTGATTTAGCCAAGAGGTCAGATGTATGATTTCAGCCTAGAGGGTCACAGTTTTTTTTTTTTTTTTTAAGATATGTGGATACATATCTTATATTTTTTTATATAATCTTGTATTTTTTAGGTAATCTTGTATTTTTATACAGTCTTGTTTTTTTTTTTCCTGCTTTAAAGAGCTGTTCTAACATAAGACAGTGGTTACTTCCCTAGCCCTGCATTCAAAAAAGACAACTGCGGCTTATTCACATGCACACACATGTGCATTTCTTACTTTCATCTCTTAGGAGCACAGTGACCAGTCCTTCGTTTTCTAAATCCGACGTGAGTTCCCTCTGAGTCTTGGAGGGCACCTGAGTCCTCCTGGGGCAGGCACCCGGGGAGAAGAGAGGTGGCATGGAGTCAGGCGGGCTCTTTGCCTGACTTCACCTGCCACCCTTCGCTCATTGACATCCCTCACTTGGCCCCTGTGGAAGTTCCTATTTTGCTCCTGCTACTCAGGCCTTGTCCACAGCTCTGGGTTGCTGTGGCCCCAGCACAAAGCAGAGGCGCAAGGCTGGCCTGGGCTCCTCCCGGGCGAAAGTCAATCCCCCCACTCTTCACCCGGCTGCGCTTCAGCCCCTGCCGCCCCGCCCCAGGAGTGTTGGCACCTTTCACTGAGATTCAGAGCCCACTGAGGCCAACTCGCATTGCCAGGAGCCCCCAGGTTCCACGCGGGGCAAGGACATTCACTCCAATTGCCTTTGGCCTCATGTATCTAGTTCACCTCTGAACTGCTCCCAGGCAATTGGCTTAAGGACCCTGCAAAATGACTGCAGTATGTTGACGTCCCCTGCAGCCTCCCTCACCCTAAGGCTCCGGAGTGAACGAGCACCTGCTGTGATTGTTGACTTCAGATTCCAGACTTGTGTACGTAATCCCAGCGGCTGGGGAGGCTGAGGCAGGAGGACCGTGAGTTCAAAGCCAGCCTCAGCAAAAGCAAGGCACTAAGCAACTCAGGGAGACCCTGTCTCTAAATAAAATACAAAGTAGGGCTGGGGATGGGGCTCAGTGGTTGTGTGCCCCTGAGTTCAATCCCTGGTACTGCCCTTGCCCCCCAAAAAAGATTCGAGACTTGAGCCTTCATCTTTGCCTCTGGCCCTCCTTGTTCGCCTCATTTGTACGATCTTCTTTCTCTCCTGGCAGGTTCTGAGGTCCTATCCTTTTGCCAGTTTGTTCCCATCTTCTCCTTTTGTGTCAGTACCACGTCATCCGGGACGGTCCCCAGTGTCCTTTTCCCTGCAGGTCCCCAAGGTTCCCTTAGCATTCTTGTTCAAAGCTTCCCCAAACTGAGATTTCCTGTTTGGGCCTGGTTATTGTATCTGGTTCCCAAATTTCCTCGGTGTCATGCTTTGAGCCTGCAATGTGTCCCCAAAGGCTCAAGGTTTGACAGTATGGTCCCCAACGCAGCCAGTTTCTAAACTAGGGCTCTGAGGAAGTGACTGGTTCCTGAGGGCTGTAACCTCACCAGCAGATCCAGCCCTTGTGGACTTCTGGGGACTGTCCCCTGTCCCTGGCCGCCTCCCTCTGCTCTCTGGCTGCCTGAGTTGAGCAGCTCTCTTGACCACACCCTAATTCTGCCTCACTTGAGCCCAGAGCAAGGGAGCCAACTGCTCGTGGACTGAAACCCCTGAGACTGTGAGCCAAAATGAATCTTTCTTCCTCTGAGCTGTTCTGCCGGGTGTTTGGTCGCAGTGACCAGCATGTTTGGTGTGTGCGTTTTCTCTTGCATTCAGATCTAAAACCTTAGAGTTACCTCCAAAGTCCTTTTTCCTGCCCCCACAGCAGAAATCAGGAGAACCTACGAGAGCCAAAGCTGAATGTGAACCATAACTGTGAAAATGCTGTGATCCTTAAAAAGGGAGATTGCAGGAAAAAAAAGGGGGGGTGACATTTCAAGGTCACCTCAAAGGAACATCTATAATCCAGGAACCATTTAGACCAGACGTTACCTTCCCATAATAGCTAGCGGGAAAGGTTTTTGATATAAAATCTTCTAAAGTCTATGTGGAGATGCTCAAGATTTAATAGATCGCTGGGCCCACCCCAGAGTCTTGGATTCCATAGGCCTTAGGTGGGGCCTGGGGATTCCCAGTCTTCGCCGGTTCTCTGGTGATGCTGGTGCAGCCTTTTCCTGGACCCCATTTTGACAACCGTGACCTTACGACAATGTTGTATAGTTAAGTGCCTGACCTCTTTGTTGCTCAGTGCTCTTAATGATCGGTGTTTTCCATGGGTGAGCCCCGCCAGGTACAGCCAGTCCCACCCCTCCCAAGGGCACAGGGCGGCAGTTCACGGGGGACCCTTGGCTTGAAGCTGGGCAGATGGCAGCACATACACCTTCCTCTCAGGTGGGCAGGGTGCTGGGTAACTCTCCTAGGCAAGGTCGTGGGCAGGACCTGGCTGCGGGAGGAGCCTGGGTGGAGATGGACCGTCCAGAGAGAAACAGCCTTGGTCATTGCACAGAGCATCCCCTTAACTTCTCTTAGCATCTCCTGGAAGGTATGTACATGAGTCACCCTCCTGAGACGTGGGTCTCCAGTTGGTCTGCTCTTTCCGACGATCATCATCACCAGGGACTGGAGTTGAGAAGGGTGAGGTCTTTTAATCCCCCGTCTTTACTGGTGCAGTTTAACTACACATAACGGTGGGACTCGCTGTGACATATTTGTACACGTGTGTGAGAGACAGAATGTAGTCAGCAGCATTCCCCAGTGCTTCCCCATTCCCTCCCCAAAGCCCTTTCCTCTGCTCCGCTGATCTTCTCCAGGAAACAGGAGTAGGAAGCAGGTTGGCAGTTGGACTTACATTACTCTTTGTGAATTTTTGTAATATTTTAAAATTTTACTGAGCAACAAATGTGTACCTTTCCAAGAGGACAAATAATATATCTTGTAGCGGCATGTTTATAGACAGAGTTGGTCCAAATCCTGCTCTTGTACTTCCTAGCTGTGTGTCCTAAGGGAAGTGACTTTCTTTTCTGAGCCACTTCCTTCTGTGCAAGGACATCGTAGGATGTAGTGAGATGTTTTTAAAAGTCAGTGTTACTATTGAGGACTCTCTTGTATTTTCTGTAACTTAATCTTTACCCTTGTGAGTGAATAGTTATTGTCACTTTACCACTCAGGAAATTGAGGGCTGGGGCTGTAGCTCAGCGGCAGAGCGGTTGCCTAGCATGCATGAGGCGCGGGGTTTGATCCTCAGCACCACATATAAGTAAATCAATAAAATGAAGGTATTGTGTCAACACAATTAAAAAATATTTATAAATAAATATTAAAAACAACAACTACTAGGGAAATCGATACTCGGCACCACCCGTACCGTAAATGTGGGTGACAGCTTTGAACTGAGGCCCAGGCCAGCCCTGGTCCCCTTGTTTCCTGTGATGACATTTTCCACGTGCCCAAAGACCCGGACACACTCCCAGTTGTTAGAAAGAGCCCAATGCGTGGTGGCCGAGGCCGCTGCTGTTTTATCGTGATTTGGTTTCTTTCCTTGTTAGTTTTTGGTGGCGCTGGGGACTGAACCCAGGGCCTTGTGCATGCCAGGCGGGCACTCTACCGACTGAGCATGTCCCCAGCCCCTCTATCGTGACTTTGGAGGGCTCTCGGGCCAGGATCTCTTATCCATTCTGTATCCATGGAGGCCTGGGTTTGTGACTTTTGCTGTGAACTTCTTGAATTTCCAGGATTCATTCCAATGCTTCAATCACAGGTGCAACTGCCAAAAGAACTGGCGTAAGTGGCAACAGAACGATCTAGAAGAACAAGAGACGGAAGCAGCGGCTGTGGGGTTGGAGCTGGGGGCTGCTTCAGCGGCACAGCTGGGAGCGTGTCCCCGAACACCTGGGGCCTGCGTAAGAGACGCGAAGCTCGGGCCACGCAGGAAACAGGCAGAAGAGGAGGGTGGATGGAGAGAGAATCTAATATTCGCGGGCCACGCTTTCTACTGCCAATCAGCCCGGGTGACTGGGGCGGGATTTGAGTCTGGCTTCCAGAAGCAGCAGTTTGAGACGTTTTTGTAAACATTCGCTTTCTTGTGGTTGATAACAATAAACGTGACAGGGGTGTTGTCTTGGTGCTCACGCTGTTCCTCCCGCCAGCCCCTGTGCTGTCACCCGCCACACACCACACAGGGAGGAGGCCACCTCTCCCTGACCTGTGAAGGGCAGGTGTGTTCCTGGCCCACCCAGGTTTGGAAATGGCTCTCTCCCCTGGAGACCCCTCCATGCTCTGGGCTATTCTTCTGAGAGGGCTATCTCAGGAGCACCACCCCGAAGCCAGAGGATGTGGACCGAGTGTCACCAAAACAGTAATACCAAGAGTCACCCTTGCATCTGTGAAAACGCTTCCCGACAGCCTTTCCGTATGTGGCAGCGGGGGACAACCTGCAGCTCTGTACAGAAAGAAATAGGGAGATGAATAATAGAGGTGAGGGCTATTGTAGGTGTATGCACACATCCGCTGCCTTGACTTCCATCTCTGAGTCTGACTTGATCTTGCTCACCTCCAGACCTTCTGAAGGAAGCTGACGGGGTTGAATTCCCCAACCTACCCTTCAGAGCTCCCTTGACTCGCCCCAGAGGGCTACCAGTCTCCTGCCCCACAAGCCCTTCATGCTCCTCTTGGTAAAGACATCTCTGTATGCTCCAGGGCCTTTGCACAAGATGGTCCCCAAAAGGCTTTTCTCTGCCCCCACATATGAAAGCCCCATCCGGTCTCCAAAGCCGGTGCCCAGTTCCGATGATCTCCACAAGGACATCCCGGGCTGCTCCAGCCCCATTCCCAGAGCCCTTACCTGTCCATCCGGGTCACTAGGTGCGTAGAATCAATCTGAGGCTCTATAGTAATAGGACTGACCTGAGCTGGGAATCAGTCGGCTCTTTACCTGGGTGGACAGACTCCGGGCACAGCCTTCCTCCCCCTGTGGGGGTCACGGCTGATGCCCAGCAGGCAGAGCAGGGTGGGAGAGGACAGCTTCAAAGGGGGCAAACAACACGTGATTTGGAAGGATGAGCCAGGATAAAAAAAAAACATGGCGCGTCTCTGTTTTGAACATAATTTGTGCAAAAGTAGCCGAATTCAAATAGTTTCCAGTCCAGTGTGTAACTTAAAATAGACAACAGCCCACAGCTTTGTTCTTAACAGGAGTGTTCTTAACAGGAGTGTTAAGAAAGGGCTGCAAAAATAATGCTTCCTAAGTAGTTGGCACATTCTGTACCAAGGCGAACCTCTGAGGACCAGCCCTGTAAACACGCTTAGAAACAGTCTGGATGTCACAGGCAAAGTTCTGGGAGCCCCGGTGCCTGCTGACCACAGCAAGGTCCAGGGTTTCAGAAGGGCTACCGGTAACCCGAGGATGCTCCAAGAAAAGATGATCCAGCTTCCCGATTCCCTGCCTCAGTACCCAGGTTTGGCAAGAAAGGAACAGCAGCTCACGGGATGGTTTTTCTGCTGACCATTCCCAGGCTAAAGAGCCTGGTTGAAGAATTTAACCTGCTTTTAAAATGGGATGCTAACTGACACCATGTACATGTCATGGTGTTCTGCATCTAGGATCCTAGTGGTATCACAGGGCTAAGCAGACGCTCCGGGATGGCTGAGAAATTAAAATGCAAGAAGAATCCAGAGCAGGAAAATGCCAGTGCTCTTCACTCTAGGACATGCAGAGAATTTCCCCAGCAAGTGCCTCCCCCATGTCTGCACAGTTCCAAGGTAGGAAAGCCTCAGGGCTCGCTTCACGGATGGAGTTGTCCCATCAGCAAGCCCACATCCTTCGTGATCTGTTTGTAAATACATGGCAGTAAAGGGACACCCAGACTCACGCTTTCTTACCCCTAATGTCTGTCAAAGCACACGGTTGTCACGATTGCTATCCCAGATTGTTATGGAGTGCAGAAACCAGTGACCATTTCTCCTTTTAGAAGCCTCTCACCTGGCTGTCTGAAGACGCTTTTCAAACTTCAAACAGAGGAGTTATCCTCTGCTACTTTGTGCCCCCAGGGAATTGATAAAAACGCACGTTTCTTGTGTTTTCCTAAATGTTCCAGTTGAAAACGAAACCATGGGAAACTTACAAGAAACATGATCTCGGGCACCTTTTTCTGTGTGTTATAACAACAACAAAAAAATGTGCAGGGCTGGGGATGTGGCTCAAGCGGTAACGCGATTGCCTGGCATGCGCGGGGCGCTGGGTTTGATCCTCAGCCCCACATAAAAATAAAATAAAGATGTTGTGTCCACCGAAAACTGAAAAATAGATATTAAAAATTTCTCTCTCTCTCTCTCTCTCTTTAAAAAAAATGTGCAACACACGGAATCCAAGTTCGGTTTTATTGTGTCTTTTAACAAGTCTGTCAAGAGTGACACGGGCTACCCAGTGTAACCACCTTAGGGAAGAGGACATTCAGTTTGCAGCAACCACCTGCTGGTGAAAAGAAACAGGATGAGCGTTTCCAAAAAAATTTTACAAAACTTTAACAAAATATCCTAAACAGCTATCTTTATATTCGTAAACAAAGTAGAAAGAACTGGCTTGACCAGCGTTCACTGCACGCCCAACAGGTGGCCAGGTGAGAGAGATGGCCTCTGATTTCACAAGAACAACAATACAGACTAAGCTAGTTTGCACCCCACGCGGGGCCATCCCGGGGGCTCTCGAGGGGTGCGGGAGGGGACACAGGCTAGCGCGGCGGGGTCGGCCGGCCGTCTGGACGCTCTGCTGCGCTGGCTGGCTGTGGAGTCCACGGGTGTCTTTCACAGACACTCGGGAAACCCCGAGGCCAGCAGGAGGGTGGTTTTCTATGGTGTCTGAGAGCCTCCCTGGGTACCGTCGGGGCTGGTAGGAGGACGCCCGTGGAGCATGCTGCCATACAGAGCTGGCTGGTAAGACGGGCACCTCCTGCTCAGACACTGAGGAAAGTGGGCGTGGACCGGGGGGACTGCGGCCCAGGGCAGCGGCCCGGAGCCTGGCTCCCGGCTACTCCTTCACTTTGCTGATGAACTCGGTGAATTTGCCGATGTTCTCCTCCTGCTGTTCCAAGGCGTCCAGGACGATGCCCATGGGGGTCCTCTTCAGACCGATCCCCTCCATCTTGTTCTCCACCTTGTTCTTGAGGTTCCGCAGCCGCAGCGAGGCGTGGATGAACATCACTGCGAAGAAGGGACCCACGGTCAGCACAGAGCCAGAGCCCTCCTCTGCCACTCCTCTGCCGCTCCACGCCCCACGGCGCGGCCACACTGCAGCCAGCCCTCCCTGGGCCAAGCCCCCGGGGCCGCTCCGACTCCCTGCAGCTCCCATCTCTGCGTGTGCGGCAGAACCTGGAATTCAGTAGCGAGGTCCAGCACCTGGCAGCCACCCCGCTCCCTTCTTCCGGACACCCTCTCCTTGCAGATGCTACTTAAATGCCACGACATTCAGCGTGAATCCAACCCAACAGAAACCCGCGTGGCCGAGGTGTTCCAGACAGGGACTCCTGCTCCCTCAGGGACGCCGCATGCTCCCTTGGGGAGGCACACAGGGCAAGCCACCCTCCAGGTGTCTCCTGGGGTCAGTTTTCTGGGGCTGGTGAGCATTAGGAGCTGCCCACTCCCTGCCAATTATTCATCATCAGATTTGTCGGCTTCTCTCCTGGACCTGCTGACCCAGAGCCTGAAGTTAAGGGAACCTGTATTTTAAGCCAAGGCCCATCTGACCAGCAGCTGTCATGTGACCTGCACCAGTGACCTGCACATCCAGGCACGGCAGAGTCTGCAGACAGACAAGCCCCACTCCCCACACCCCAGATTCCAATGGAGAATGAGGTGGGGCTCCAGAATCTACCCACATATGATCATATTTATTTAATTTTTGTGGTGCTGGGGATGGAACCCAGAACCTGGCTCGTGCTAGGCAAGCGCTGACCACTGAGCAGCATCCCAGCCCCGGGGTCTCGCTCACAGCCTTGGGCTCGTATGTGGAAGGGTGCTAAAGTGAGGGCTTGGTTCAAACAGAACCACTAACACGAGCCTCTACCACATAAGGAAAAGCTGAAGACACTTCACAAAGTCTGAATTTACTCATTCTGTCCTCCAAGGTTCAGAATCCATCCGTAGAGGCTCTGAGCTTAACCTCACCAAACCCCAGATCAGCCGGTCACGGTGCACAGGTAAGATGCTATTTTAAGTTCAGGGGACGTTCCTGCCATTCTTCATGCACTAGAACTTCCATCAGATTTCTGCTGATGAGACAGGGTTCTTATCCCTCCGCTACCTCAGGCTGCCAGTGTGTGGAGTCCGAGTACGGGATGCGCGTCTAGTTTAGAAAATGGCGGGTGCTCTTCCCCAGAACCGGAGTGCTTGGGTCCAGTATTCTCGTGGACTCACCCACCCTCGGGCACTAATACTGATCTCAGTAAGAGGGGAAGTCGTCCACTTCCTCAGGACAAGCATGTTCAGAGCTGCGTCAGGCCAATGTGAAGGGTGGGCAGGCTGCGGCCGACCGCAGAACCAGACACACCTGGAGCCCCGCGAGGCTGCGCCAGGTCCTGCTGTAGGACTCGGGGCTGGTCACGGTTCTGATGGGAGGTGTCCCCAAAAGCTCATGCCTGAGGCAACGCGAGAAGGTTCAGAGGAGAAACGACTGGGTGGTGAGAGCCTTTACCCATCAGTGACTGACTGGGCATTAACTGGGTGGCCACTGAAGGTGGCCAGAGGAGGTGGGCATTGGGAGGTGTGGCTTCGGGACCTATTTGTACCTGGCAAGTGGGGTCTCTCTCTGCCTCCTGATCACCACGTGAGCTGCTTCCCTCTGCCACACTCTCCCACCACAATGTCCTGCCTCACCTCGAGCCCCGAGGAACGGAGCCTGCTGCCTGGGGACCGAGACCTCTGAAACCGTGAGGCCCTAAACAAACCTTCCTCCTCTACAATTGTGCTGGTCGGGTCTTTAGGTCACAGCAGTGAAAATGGTGACTACAGCAGGGCTCCTGGGAGTGTGGTTCATTCTTGTGTCCCCAAAGAGCAAGTGTCCACGCGTGTTAGTGGGGCACGAAGGAGCCACTGGACCCTGATCTCCCATTTTAGGAACCTCCAGAGGGGGTGGGCCAACGGGTTAGGTGACCCCACGGGACAGTGGTGCTCGTTTTCCTTATGACGTGGGAGAAAGAACACTCAGGGGTTGGGGACAGAGCTCAGTTGGCCGAGTGCCTGCCTCGCGGGTCCCAGGCCCTGGGTTCCATCCCCAGCACCACAAAAAAATTAAAAAAAAAAAAAAAAGAAAGAAAGAAGGAAAACTCGGGCCGACTTACGCAGCAGAGGGAAAGTGATCCCGAACACGAAGACCATGACTCCCCCGAACATGGAGATGAGGAAGTAGCTGGCCACCATGACCACCATCACGAAGGCCGTGGGGTACTGCTTCTTGGTGCGGCGCAGGACGTCCTTATTGTGGGCCGCCCACACGAAGACCGTGAACACCAGCACCACCACCAGTCCTCCCAGGATCATGTTGAAGGGGCTCAGGAACCTGCAACACGGGGGGCAGGGGGTGAGCCAGGGGCCCAGCACCGGGGGCAGAGGAGGGGGAGGGGGTGGAGAGCAGAAGTACTCACGGAGCACTGCCCAAGCCCTTTACCTGAATCAGAACCTTAGCCTTCCACCTCGTGGAGTGGACACGGTTAGTACTTCTCTCTAATAAGAACCCATGACACCCAGCTCCCTGCCGGGCCTCTGGCTCCCACTCACGCCTCAGGCTCCCAGCCGGGGGCCCCCACCTTCCTGAGGCCCAGAGTTGTAGTCTGAGGCCTCTCTGGGAGGCGGCGTGCCTGGCTATCATGCCCCCCTGGGCCGAGGACGCAGGGCGCTGTGCTTCCCAGCTCTCGGGGCACCTTCCAGTCCTCCCAGGACGGGCCCCGTTGGCTGAATGTAGACTAGCAGCCACACTAGGGCCTCCAGGGGCCAGATACACTCTGCGGGCACATTTTTGTTTCTCCTATACAGTGGGTTTTTTTTTTTTTTTTTTTTTTTTTTAGTTGTAGATGGACACAATAGCTTTATGTATTTATTTTTGTGTGGTGCTGGGATTCGAACCCAGTGCCCCACACATGCAAGGCAAGTGATCTGCCACTGAGCTACAGCCCCAGTCCCACCGATACAGTGTTTTTTAAAACTTGTACTTGAAGCCCCATCTATGTATTAAAAACACATCCAGACAACCTGGCATGCCTGGCTCCTCCTGGAACGAGACGATCTAGGTGCTCCGGGCCCACTTTCCTCCCTGCCGAGAGCGGGCTGGAGCACCTTCCACCTTCACACTCAGAGGGAACACATGCTCCCCACGTGGCCGCAGCCCTCACCCTCTCCAGGGCTAGCTTGCGGCAGAGGCCCGGGGCAGACTGCCACCTGCCTGCGTTTCTCTACGAGCTGCCTGAGTGGCCTCTCGGCTACGACCTTCCTGTCCAGGGGGCACTCGAGTGCCGACTCAAGAGCCAAGAAGAGGCCGTGGTTGTTACCGATTGATTCGTCTGTTCATCTGCAGGGTTGGAGGTGGAGGCCAGCACCTGGCACAGGCCAGGCCAGGGTGCCACCACGAGCCACATCCCAGCTCCGGTACACAGAGCGGTTCTAAGAAGCTGAAGTGTCCTTAATAATGTGGGAAGACACTGACTAGACTACAGCAATCCCTCTTCTCCATGAGAGGGAGTTATCATCCAGGGGAGTCAGTCCACGGGAGGGACAGCTCTCATTTGTATACGACTTTGTAATCAGAAATAAAGTGAACACTTAAAGAAAACACAGAAATAAGAAAGCATCCATTCCTCAACCCGCAACCCAGTAGGCACGATGGTCCCTACCTACCTGTCTGTTTCTCCAAGGTGGGATTTAGCTCATGCACCACCAGGAAGCTGAGCCTTCTGCAACCCAGACCCAGTGCCCCAGCTCCTCGGCAGACCCTCTCAGAGCCAGCCTGCAGCACGTGGCCCCCCAGGATGCCCAACACCCCACGCCCCGAGCTCCCTGTCTGCCGCCTCCCTCGCTCCCACCTCTGAATCACCCCAGGCCACCTGGCCTCTGCACTGCTATTCTTATTTTATCTTATTTTAACCTGGTTTATACCTTGTCTCTGATGTAACCTTGGAACTGATTTGAGAAAGACAAAAATTTCCTAACAGGCCTGAAAAACGTCAGGAATGACATCCTCATTAGCAGGGGCCGGAACCTGAGCAAAAGAGGCCCAGCAGCCTCCCCGACCCATCCCTCTCCTACACGCAACATACGGAGGGAGAGAGCAAAGAGACCAAAACACGGCGGTGGGTCCTGGGTAGGGGAGCCAAGGGGTTACTCCCAGTTCGCCTGATCTTTAAAAAATGACAGAGAAACACAGCCCTTTATAGAAGCCTCTTGACTTGGACCTGGCAACGACCTAGAAATGTTTCTCAGCTGTACTGTAAAGCAGAGATCAAGTTAACACAAATCGGAGAATGGGGGTTAAAGTTTAGGAAAAGCCTCTGTGTAAACTGCAAACAGGGGCTGCCTGGCGGAGGGCACCAATGTCCCCCGGGCGTCTTTCCAGAATACTCACTGAAACAACCGTTCAGGATGATGTCATGAGACCCATGTCAAGATTCTCCTTTTTCTTTCTTTTTTGGGGTCGGGGAGGTACTAGGGATTGAATCCAGGGCGTTTAACCGCTGGGCCACATCCCCAGGGCTGGCTTGCTTTATTTATTTATTTATTTATTTATTTATTTATTTATTCATTCATTTATTTATTTATTTAGTGGGGTCTCGCTAAATTGAATTAGGACCTTGCTAAGTTGCTGAGGCTGGCCTCACACTGGAGATCCCCCAGCCTAAGCCCCCCAGGTCACTGTGATGACAGGCTGGCCACCCTGCCCAGCAAGCTCCCCTTTCCCTCTGCACATACAGAGCGGACATCTAGGCTGAAGGTCTGTTGGACAAAGGACAGGAAAAGTCCCACTTGACTCATGCGATCCCAGACTGGCTTTCCACCTGCTCCTGTCGCTCGCGTTCAGGGGAAGAGCAGAGCGAGCCTCCTGTGGGCTGGAGTCAGCTCACCGCGCGCCCAGCCGCAAGCTATGATTAGAAAGTAACTGAGTTTCCAAGATGGAAAAAACTGGGCAAGCCACTGGATTTTATTCCACGTTCTGATTACATGCAGCCTCATCCTGAGACGGGAAATGCACACTGCACCACGCCCTGGGACCCGCTCCTGAAGCAAGATCACACACACACGTAGACACACACGCGTAGACACACCACACCACAGAGACACACCACACACATACCACATACAGACACAGACACACACCACACACATACACATAGACACACACACACACATGTAGACAGACACACCACACACAGAGACACACCACACACAGACACACACATACCACATACAGACAGACACACACCACACACATACACATAGACACACACACACATGTAGAC